TAAAAATTCCGTTTTGTTTTTTCCGTGGGAAATCAATTCGGGGGAAATAAAATAAAGGGCCCCGGCGGGGAAAACCACCAATCCGGGGGACCCCCCCCATGGGGCTAAATCCCGAATGTTGTTCGGTTCTCCCGGTGTGTCGAAACAACACACTTTCTCTGAGCTCTTCCCACCCACGGGGCCGAACACACGCCCTTGGCCTGGTTTCGGCTCTCGCGCTCGTTGCTCTGGCGCCGCCAGAGTGAACAGAGTGCACATGTTGTGGGATATGTACTACTCGCACCGAGACGCGGTCGTCCACTTCCACCTCACAACGCGGAACTGGCCGAACTCCACTGGCGCACAGAAACGGACGCCCCCCCCCCCACCCCCCCCTCTCCCTCCCCACGTCCTCCGCAAGATCTGTCACAGAGCGTACTCATCGGGCTGGCGGCGCAGCATATGCAACTCAATGTAGGGGCGCGGCGCGGCGCTGGGCGGCGCGCCGCCCGCCGCCGCCGCTTGCACTGGCCCATCGCCGTGCGTCACAAGAAGGGGCCACCGCGCGACAGCACGGCGATAGGGGAGTGGCCCTACTGCCGCCCTCGCCGCCGCGGCGAACCCCAAACGCGCGTGCTGCGCGCCCCTCCTCGCCGGTACGAGTGCCACGCAAACGGCCTGGTAGCCGCCGCAGCGGCTCAGCACTGGAATCTGAACGGAGCAGGACGGGACGCGGCGCGGCGGCGGACTCAGCGCTTCCGAAACAGCCCGCTTTTTCGCTTCTGGAAGTGTGGCGCGGGCGAAACCTCTTCCGCACCTCCGCCGCCAAACGCTCCGCCGCCGTACGAGGGCGGGTTCGCGCCGTCGCTGTGGGTCGAGGAGCCTGAGAAACGGCGCACGCCGCGCGGCTCAGAACGGGCGGCTGCGCACGGCCTCTCTCGCCCGCGGCCGCGTCGGGGGCGCCGGTGTTGTAGCTGCTGCTGTCGAACTTGCGCGAGGTGCCGCGCGAGAGCGAGAGCCGCTTGAGCGAAGAGGTCGGCACCTTGCCGCCGCCGCCGCCCTTGGCGAGCCTCTTTTGCAGCTTTTTGATGCCGAGGTTGATGATGTCCCGCGCCTGGTGATCTCGGGTGATCTCGGGTGATCTCGGGTGATCTCGGGTAATCTCGGCTAATCTCGTGCATGCAGGACGCGGCGTGCTCGGCGGCGGTGCCGCTATCGTCCATAATCTGAAGCGGCATGCGGGAGGTGTGGGGAGGTGTGGGGAGGTGTGGGGGAGGTGTGGGGGAGGTGTGGGGAGGTGTGGGGAGAGGTGGGCGAGGTGTGGGGAGGTGTGGGGAGGTGTGGGGAGGTGTGGGGAGAGGTGGGCGAGGTGTGGGCGAGGTGGGGAGAGATGGGGAGAGGGAGAGGGAGAGGGAGAGGGAGAGAGGGAGAGAGGGAGAGAGGGAGAGAGAGAGGGAGGGAGAGAGGGGGAGTCGCGCCTGCAGCAGCATCCGAAAGAGGCCCGCCTCGATGAGTCCGCTCTTGTACTATTCACAGTCCGTTGCTGTGAACAGCCTGGCCTTGGCCCTTGCCCGAGCCGGGAAGCCTACTACCACTACTGCTGCTGCTGCTGCTGCTGCTGCTGCTGCTGCTGCTGCTGCTACTACTGCTACTACTACTACTACTACTGCTACCACTACTACTACTGCTGCTGCTGCTGCTGCTGCTACTTTTTCTACTACTCCTACTCCTACTCCTACTCCTCCTCCTCCTCCTCCTACTACTACTACTACTGCTACTACCACTACTGCTGCTGCTGCTGCTGCTGCTGCTGCTGCTGCTGCTGCTGCTGCTGCTGCTGCTGCTACTTTTTCTACTCCTCCTCCTCCTACTCCTACTCCTACTCCTACTCCTACTCCCACTACTGCTACTACCACTGCTGCTGCTGCTGCTGCTACCTCTGGCGTCGCGTTGAAGGCGAGGAACTTGAGCGCGCGCGCCTGATCTCGGACAATCTCGGGGTGATCTCGCGCGGATCTCGCTCCATCAGCTCCGTCACGATGAAGAGCGCGCGCGCCGCCGCCAGCTTCTCGTCGCGGCTGCCCTCGCCCAGCTGCGCGAGGTAGTGGAAGGTGTCCTAAGGTAAGGTGAGGTCAGGTGCTTCTTCTCCATGAGGTCAGGTACATGCGAGGTGGTGGGGCAAGGGCCAGGCCCTCGCGACTCCACGTCTAGACGACAGGAGCCCCACGGCATTACAAGTGCAAGGCCCAGTGCGCGTGGGTGGTGGTGGTGGTGTGTGTGTGTGTGTGTGTGTGTGTGTGTGTGTGTGTGTGTGTGTGTGTGTGTGTGTGTGTGTGTGCGTGTGTGCGTGTGCGTGCGTGCGGTGTGGGGGAGAGGTCTCCTGCCGAGACAGCACGAGCGTCTTGTCCTCGTCCTCCTCCTTCTCCCCGGGCGCGATCTGCGTCTGCGGCGGAGCAGGGGGAGGAGGGGTGGCGCGTCACGCAGCTGGACGGCGTTGATGCAGCGTGTACGCTTGGGGTGGTGCCCCGGTGCCTCGTTGTGTCTAAGAGGGAGGGCGGTGGGGAGGAGGGAGGGCGGTGGGGAGGAGGGAGGGCGGTGGGGAGGAGGGAGGTGGCGGGGAGGAGGGAGGCAGCAGAGAGAGAGAGGGCTGTGGTTGTGAGAAGGGGATCGGAACGGCAGCGGGGGGGGGGGCGGGGGCGGGGGCCATGACAGAGGCGGCGAGGAGCGGCGGCGGGTCGGAGCCAGGCGGCGGCGGGCGAGTGAGGGGGAGACAGAGAAGAGAGTGGGGGGAGAGACGACAGAGAGAGCAGGCAGCCGGCAGGCGCGCCTCAATCTCGCCCACTGTGAGCGACTCTCGGGTAATCTCGGGTAATCTCGGGTAATCTCGGGTAATCTCGGTGCCTCAATCTCGCCCACTGTGAGCGACTCCTCTGGCTGCGCCGCGTCGGGGTCGAGCGCGCCGAGCAGGCTGTCGCTGCCGCCGGCCGCGTCGTCGGACGGCCCGCCGAAGAACGGGTTGTCCACCGGCGCGGCTGGCGCGGCCGGCGCAAACGGGTTGTCCGCAATCGGCGCCGCGCTCGCGCCCCGAAATCCGTTGGGGGGCGGGGAGAAGGGATCGGGCGCGGCCGGCGGCGGGGAGAACGGGTCGGCCGGCGCCGGCGCCGGCGGCGGGGAGAACGGGTCCGCCGCGGCTGCTGGCTGAGTAAACGGGTTTGGCTGCGCCGCGGGCTGCGCCGGCGCGAACGGGTTCTGCTGCACTGCAGGCTGCGCGCTCCGGTAGCGCGGCGCAGCGGGAGGTGGGCCCTCGAACATCGAGAGGTCAACCTTTCCGGGCTGGCTCATTTTCTGGGCCTCAGCTCCAGGGGGCCTGAACCGCCGCAGAAGCCGATCGCCCGGCAAGTGCTCCAAGTGCTCCGGCACTGCTAAAAGAATTCTGTGGTTGTTCCTCCCGGTATCCCGCCATATCACCGTCTGTTTTCTTTCTTTCTTTCCGCCATATCCCGATGTCACGATGCATCCGAAGGGGACCCCAGCGCCGGCATCATCCGTCCGTAGAGGCACGAGTGTTCGAAGAGAGAGTGGACCTGAGCAACAACATGACCTGTAGGCAAATGATCGGAGTGGGAGTCAGAAATGTGGTCCTTGCGCGAGGGGAGCTCAATAGACTCGAGGGGCCACGAGGTCCCAGGATACGCCGCGAGGAGGACGGAGTTGCGCCGAAAGGCGAAAGAAGCCGCGAGAACAAGGGACCGGCAGGCGGCGGCGTCACAGGACGAGGCAGAAGAGAACGACACTCCACGGTGCCAAGGGCACAAACAAGGGCACAACTCAAACAACAGACGACAGGAAGTGACATGCGAGGCTAGAGCAGGCTTGCTCTACCTCCAGCAATCTCTCCGGCCGGCGAGGCACGGACGAGACCGTGTGTGGGGTCTAAGTGAGGTGTCTATGGACGCTCTCCTCACGGGCTAGCTGCCTGCGGCTAGCCCTAATCTCGCACTCACGGGCAGTGACAATTCAATGGGTGAGTGTTTGCGAGCAGAGGCGCGTGGGCTAAATCTAGGCCGCACGTCGTGGCACTATGACGAAGTTAGACGTGCGGCCGCAGCGCGCCCGCCGCAGGCTCGGCGGTGCGCGCGTGTTAGCGAGCAAGTTGCGGGTGGAGCCATGCCCGACTTTTCGAAGGTGAGGCCTCTGCGACGAGTGCCAGCCGCGCTGCGGAGCCACACCCTTCGAGCCGCGTCCCGTCGGCACAAAGCCCGCGGCGCGCCGCGTTTTCTTCTCCCGATTGAAGTGCCCGATTCTACCCATCGAGGTGCTACATAGAGGTCTGCTGGAATCCACCTTCAAGAGCTTCCCCGCGCAACACGCCCCCAGCTGCGTCGCCGCACAATCAGCCTGGCGACACAGCCGTACCGTTCGGCTGCGGCTAGCTCGCTCGGGGCGGCTCGCAGACACGCCGGCGCGCTGGCGGCGTCTGCGGGCCGCGCTGAGCTCGCTGTGCCGCGCCTGTGCCTCTCTGCTCCGCCGACGCCGCGCCGCGCGCGCTGTCCGCCCGCGTGATCGGTCCGGCCGACCGCCCCTGCCCCTGCCAAACAGGTCCACATGGCTCGCCTCGTGCTGCTCCTCGGCTTTCTCGCCGCCGCGTCTGCGCTCGTCGCGCCGCTGCCTGCACCTGCGATGCAGTCGCGGCTCGCGGTGTCGCGCGTCGCGCCCGCGCCGATGATGGCGGAGCCTGAGGGGAAGTCGATTGTCATCGGCGCTGCGGCCGCCGGCGGCATCATCGGCGTCTACCTCTTCCACGAGCTCTCGACGGTGCGGGACGCTTCCGAGACACTTCCCCACGCCGCCACGCGTCCGCCGCACCGCCGGCGCGCTGCTCGCAACGACGGCTCTGGCTCCGATCCATCCGCACCGCGCCGCACCACGCCCACGCCCACGCCACGCCCTCGTCATGCTGTGGCATTTGGGACCACAAATCCTATCGCCGCCGCCACCGCCGCCGCCGCCACCGCCGCCGCCGCCACCGCCGCCGCCGCCACCGCCGCCACCGCCGCCACCGCGCCGCCAGCCGCCCGTGACCCCCGCCCCGGTCGCCCATACCCACCGTCGCCTCGCCTCCGTAGGGCGTGCTGCTCGCCGTCGCTCTCGCCTACGGTGCGACTCTGTCGAACAAATTCGGTGGGCCGCCCTCCTCCCTCCTTCTCGCTGGCCGCTGGCTGCCCTCGTCCCTCGCCACCCCGCCCCTCCCCTCGTCCCTCGGGGCCCCTCCCCGCGTCCGCCATCGCCCCCTCCGGCGTCTCCCCCGCGTTCGGCCTCTCCCCCCGGCTCGGCCTGCCTCCACCAACTCCGCCTGCCTCCACCTTCCCCGCGGCCAGGCGAGATCAGCAAGTCGACGGGCACCGTCGCGGCCAAGGCCTACTCCAAAACGCTGGAGCTCAACGAGCAGTACGACCTCGTGCCCAAGGCGAAGACCGCGCTCGACACCGCCTCCACCGCCGCTGCCAACCTCGACAAGAACTACGGCATCACCGCCAAGATCGACGACCAGCTCAAGATCTCGCAGGCGATCGACAAGGCCACCGCCAAGGTGAGACCCCGCAAGTCTCCTCTCCTCGCCTCTCCTCTCCTCTCCTCACCTCTCCTCGCCTCACCTCTCCTCGCCTCACCTCTCCTCGCCTCGCCTCGCCTCTCTTCGACGCCGAGCACACACCCGTGTGGTTTCCAACCCCGAGCTCCCCGCCCGTACTGAAGGTGGACGAGGTCAAGTCCTCCGTCTCTGACAAGCTCACCGACCTCAAGGCCAAGTCCGAGACGGCCTAAACGCCCCCCCTCTCTTCCCGTCCCCCCTCGTCGTGCATGCCGCAGTAGACCGAGCAGCATTGTCCCAAGCGCCGCGCCCCTCGCTGCGCTGCGCGGGGTCGCCCCCGCGTCGCGGCGGGGCCCGGGGTGCTCTGTGCCGTGTCCTTAGCGCGCCACTCAGCGCACGCCCGGCCCGTCTTCCGCCTGATAGGACGAGTAGTGCCCCCCCGCTCTGCTGTCTGAGCTTTAGCGGCGGGGGCGAGTCGCGCGCGCTTTGGACATGTGTTTCAGTGTTTCCCTGTGGTGTGCGTGTCGTTCGTTACGGCTCTATACAATAAATAAATAAATATCTTTACTTCCAACACCCGGACGTTCCAGGGTGATGGAAGGTTCGACGCACCCCCGGACTGGGCACAGAGAGATCCCAGGGCACGCTCCTGGGCTGTCCTCCTGTCCACCCCGCCCCCACTTGCCCTGTGACTGCACAGGATAGCGTGCCCAGACGAACGGCGACACATTCTCGAGGGGCCAGCCGCTGGAAGGGGCAAGCCAGCGGCACGAGGGCTTCAGCCACACAGCTACCAAGGGAACGCGACCCACACAAAGCACCAAAGTTACGGCTCTAGGCATACCCCCCGGCGCGCAGTGTTACGGCTCTCGATAACTATACAACACCGACAGTGCTGGGTCGCCACCGAGCACCGTCCTACGGGCCCGCCGGTGACACTCTTCACATTTCAGAGCCCCACAGCCGGCGCTGCCGTCACCGGGAGCGGCGGCGGTGAGCGGAGGGCGGACGATCCTCGATCGGGTGGCGAGGCGGAGGCACGTGTCGAGGGGCAAAACAGCGTGCGCGCGCGCCGCGGGCGCGGCGGCTGGCGGCTGGCGGCTGGCGGCTGGCGGCTGGCGGCTGGCGGCTGGCGGCTGGCGGCTGGCGGCTGTTGGAGCATTGGCGCATCCGCGCACGCGTGCGCGCGCTCCGCGTCGCTCCGCGAAGGATGCGACGAGCGGGATTCGAACCGGCGACCCATAACAGCGCCGGTCCGAACGGTGCTCCACCGTGCCACAAGAGCCATGCAGTCTTGTGCGCTCTGGAGAGGCAGCTCATGATATATGACTGCTTTTATCCGCGGGCTCGAGGGCGCTGCGGAGGCGGGCGGCGGCGGCAGAGGGAGCTGCAGCAGCGCACGGGCGGGCGGCGGCGCGCGGGCGGCGGCGGCGGCGCGGCGGCGCTGGAGCTCCTCTGCTGCTGCTGCTGCTGCTGCTACACACACACACACGTATTCCGTAGTATTGGTCACGACACCCCACGCCACCACACTGCAAGACCGGCGGCGCGGCGCGGCGGCGGGCGACGCAGGGCGGGGCGGTGTGACCACCTGCACTGACCTGGTCTCTGGCCATTGAAGCGGTGCAGTGGTCGCGCCGCCCATGTCCCGACCAGCACCCCGACCGGCAACGACGGAGAATCCACTCCGTGCCGGCGGCTCCGTCGGTGGCGGCGCCGATCGGATCGCGTCGCGCCGGCCGGGGTGGTGACTGAGCGGGCAATGGCTCCGCTGGCCGGCGCGGGGTCGCGCCAGCGGGGAACAGGTACAAGTCAGGCGGCATCGACGATGAACGGTCACGAAACCCACCCCACCACACTGAAAGACCACCGGTCAGTTGACGACACACTCCCAGACGCCCGCCGATGAAGCCGGGAGGATGTATGGAGGAATGGTAAGGACCTCTCCGGATTGGTTGAGCCCCGGCATCGATGGCGGGAAGAGGGAGGATCCCCGCCCCCATCCCTCAGTTCAATCCCGAGAGGAGAGGCAGAGCCTCTGGCGCGGGGAGACCCCCCGTAAGCTCTCAAGGCCGCCCCCCCCCCCCCTCTCAGTTCAGATCACAAGCGGCGGCGGCGCGCGCACACACACAAAGACGTTGCCCCCTCACACCCCGCACCGCACATCACACACCCCTCGTGGCCGTTCTTCAGTCTGCGGCCATGGGCGGCCAGCGCGAGCGGAGAACGGCGGCCGAGATCGCGCTGATTTGGCAGGAAAAGCCGTGGCGTTGGAGTGCAGTCATCAGCCCCACATCGACTCACATCGAAGAAGTTCCGTAGAAGAATTCTTAAAATACAAGCCTCTCTCACAGCACACTGGCACGACAAGGGCGCAAAGAAGAATAACGCCGCGACTTGTTCAGAAGGTCTGCGGATATGTTTATGGCGCCAGCATCGTCGCCGCCCCCACCGCCGCCATCACAGCGGTGGCCGTCACTCGTCCTGCCGCCGGCTGGACCCTCTCTCGACTGGCGGCTGAAGATCGGTGTGCTGGGCGGTTCCATCAGCTGGGGCGCAACACTCAAGAAGAATCGCGTTGCGGAGCGATACTCCACACTTCTAGCACGGGAGCTCAACGCCACAGTCATAAATAGAGCGGTACCATCGACCGGTGTGAGCACGCCATCGCTTTGTCTTGAGATGGTGATGCCGCAATGGCGCTCACTCGATGTGGTGGTGATTGAGTACAATTTCAACGACGCTCTCTCATCGACGCCCATTGCCACCGCCGGTGGAGTTGGGCTTTCGGCGTTGGAGTCTATGGAGCGGCTGCTTCGCGTGCTTCTGTCGCAGCACGAGCGGCGACACCCGCCACTCGTCATCGTGCTCGCGGTATGCGAGCACCAAGGTCGTTGCGAGACTTTGTTCCGGGACGTGACGAGCTACTACATGCCGACTGGCTGTGTTGTTGGGCGCTCCATCTGGGGCATGCACCCCATTCAGGGACACCCTTTCTTCAACCACTCGATGCCCGGCCATTGGCACCCGACCCCCTGGGGACATGCCGCTCTTGCCACGCTGCTTGCTCGCACGATACGCAGCTTGAGGCCAAGATGGACGTCAGGCAGCATGCCTGAGCCGAGGGTTCCTCCGCATCTGCCGCCGCTTCGTTGGCAGTCGTCTCGATCAGCAGTCAAGGGTGATCTGGCGTGGAAATGCCTCGCCTGCAGCTATTCGGATCAGACGTGCCCTGGGCTGAAGCCCGCAGAAGCCATTGGATTCATGCTGCATACAGTCACAAGCAACGAAGGCCGGGGGCACGCCAAGCCAGGATGGCGCGCTGTGGCAGACGGCAGCAGCCTAGTCGTGGCTCTGGGCGCTGCCAAAGTGCCACGGATGATAGTCCTCGAGGCGCTCTGCTCCTATGAGAACGTGGGGAGTGCTGTTGCGCGCCTTGAGGCTGCGCGATCTAGTGGAGGGGGAGATGGCGAGACGACCCCCGACCGACCCCCCTTCATCAGACAGCACAACGCGACGCGCTTTACCGCCGCGACTACTCGGGTCGATTTCCGCTGGAACGCGAGCTCGTCGCAGCACTGTCTCCGCTTCATTGGGCGCGCCCCTTCGCACGATGAGGTGTGGCTCCACCTGAATGTCACATCCAAGGAGGGAGGCACGCGTGGTGCAAATCAAGTAAAAGTCTATGGCGTGTTGGTGCAAGAAGAAATCAAGTAAACGTCTCCAAGCTCGACCGAACCTCTCGTTGAAGCGATCGGCGAGGCGACGCCACTCTCGTCCCATCCCCTCGCCATGGTCAAAACTGTGGCAGCCGGGTCCGCCGCCACTCTCGCCGTCGAAGTGAGGCACAGAGGCCTGCCACAGGTAGCGTTCGAGGTTTGCTGGCCAGATGCTCAGCCACGGGGCCGTCGCATCAAAGCTGTGCTGCCAAGCGCCGAGACAGGCCTTGGATGCAAGGCGCCAACTCGCATACACCTGCAAGTCGTGTGTGCGCAAAATGGCCTCGCCGACGAGCAGCCAGCAGTCCTCGTTGGAGGTGAGCGCGTCGGCCGCGGCCGTCAGCTGCGAGACGCGACTCGCGGCGCAGCTCGCGGCGGCGACGCTGCGCGTTCGGGGCGTCGGACTAGACATTGTAGGAATTTCGGCGGTTTTCTACTCGCTTAGTGTGGGTAAACGAAAAAAGTAGACGCGTCCACGTACGGCTTAGTGAGTGGTTGGGGTGGCCTCAGGCATCCCCAAGGGAGCGTGGGAGCCTCTGCGGTGCCACATAAGCAGCTTAGTGATTGTCGAGACTTTAAGGGATCGTTTGAAGAAACGCAAGAAGAAGACAAACGGTACTATGGTCACCAGTAAACGAAAAATCGACTTTGAGGGATCATATCTCAAAAGGCTGGGTGAGAGCATAGCATTCTCACAGAGAACTGTGGCCGCCAGCGACTGAGCCAGTCTCGCTGGCGGACGGAGGAGAACACAACGAAGGGCCGTCCGAAACACAATCACTAAGAAGGGACGTACGGACGTCCATCACTGGGATGAGATCGGGAGATCTGGCTGCCTCGAATATCTCCCGATTCCACAGCCGCCCACAGGAGCGCCGCCTCAACACGGGGTCTCGGCTCTATCGAGCCATGCTAGCTCCAGCCGCAGCCCCACCCGGCCGCCCGAGGGTGTTCCCGCATGCAGAGAAGACCAATCCTGGGGGAAGTAACCTTATTGTTGCATATTAGGCCGCATAAGGTCAAACTTGACCCCACAAGCATCAAGAACCCGATGCTCCGGCTCGACTGTGCCGGCACACTGCCTCCTCGCGCACGCTGCTAAAGCCGTAGCAGGCCGTTGCGGCCCGTGGTGCACCAGAGAGAGAGGTCGACGCGTTGCCCCCGCCGGCGACCCCGCGCATTGCTTCACGAAAGCCATCATACGGGACGTCGTTGACAGGACGTTCGGCCTCGAGATTGATCGTCACAAAGATGGCCGTGATCATGTCCAACATGAAACAAAGTTCGCTAAGCGCACTCGCAACTTTGCGCCCACTCGCTCGCTTGCCTATAACGTTCAAGGCATCCTCCATCTTCTCGGCGTACACTTGCAGGGGAGCCGCGCCTGTGTCGTCCGCGTCTTCGTAGATCCGCGCATAGCCCTCCGAGAGACCCTGCGAGAGCCTCGCGAGCGGGCGCAGAAGGAGCTCGCCGTGACACGATGCCGGGCGGTGGTGGTGCTCTGGCGACTGTGCACAGTGGGCAAAGTCAGGCTGCAACAGCGCAGCACGATGGTAGATGCCCTGCTGCAGCCTGGCCTGACATGCACAGGGCGAACAGAGGCGGTACTATCGTCTGGCGCTCGTCACCGAATCTGGGCGAACTTCGACCGCCGCCACAGCTCACCACGAGCACGCAGCGACAAAATGTTGACTGTATGGAAGTTGAGGCTGGGCGAGAGGAAGAGGCTGCCGTGCGAGCCGGCAACTGGCTCGCTCGTCGTGGACGGCCGCCGGCGTCTTGTCGGCTTTCAACCGCTTTCTCTCTATAGGGAGGGTGGTACTTTTCGTGAAACTGAAACGCGGAACGCGATCTGTCTCGCGTTCCTCAACGCTTGCGATTCAGCTGTCGCGTCGCTGGATGATCTTGCTCAGCTCGCCGAGCTCGACCTGAACGCTCAGCGGCGCGACCGCTGAATCGCAGCCGTTTCGTGCTGCACGCATGCATCGTTGCAGTTTCAGATTACTTCCCCCCCTCCCTAGTACCGTATACGGTACTTTCGTTTACCCACACTAAGCGAGTATCGCAATCACCCGCCGCCGTCCCGCCGGTCCCGCAGCTCGCGCGAATCTCCCTCTTTACCCACCTGGAAAAAACAATATAGGGAATTCGTATGTGGCTCTTACGTACATTCCCGGAGGAGGACTGCTGACAGGGTTTGTTTGCGATGAGGGAGTGACCCGAAGGGTTTCTCGGGGTGATTTGAGCCGTTCATGCCGTTTTCACGGCAAACCATCGACTGTTGCCGCACGAACGATGCACTTGGAGCACTTGGAGTGCAGTCATTAGCCTCACATCCAGGGCCGGGGAGCTGAGAAGCGCACCCAGCGGGCCGGATGATCGGGATCGGGCTACGGGCTAGAGAGCCCTGACCCCTAGGGGGGGGTGCGCGTTCGCAGGAAGAGGGCCATAAAGTAAACACAGGTCTCCGAGGGTTAGCCCCGCGTACCGGGTTTCCCCTTAACTGCAGGACGCCCCCTCTACTCGGAGCTAATGAACACTACGCTGCACGCCCCACACCACCCCTCTACACTCACTTGCGTAGACGTTCGAGTAGACCCCACAGTACACACCCTCACACCGCTCACCCACGCGCACCGAGCCTTGTTCTTTGAACGCCGTAAATCTCCTGGCTTTCTAGACGTGGAGTCGCGAGGGACTAGCCCGGCCCTTGGTTGCCCCACCACCTCGCGTGTGTGGAGACGTGGACCTCACCTGACCTCAGGTGCTGCTTGGGCCAGGTACCAATTTTGTCGAATTTATTTCAAAATCTACAGGCGCGGAGCGCCTGCGAAAATTTTGAAGAAATTTGCAGTCGGGCCTGATTTTCATCAAGATCTTTCACATTTAAGGTGTGGAGTTGGGGGGTGGGTTAGGTTAGGGTTATTAGGGTTAGAGGGTTAGGGTTAGGGTACGGGTTAGGGTTAGGGTTAGGGTTAGTCCTCTTGTGTTTGTATGCCAGCGTTGCAGAGTTCTGCGCTGGGATCTGGCCCCAGCCGGACGAGTAAGACTCAGCACCGCACGCTGACCCCACCAAATGCCGCCTCAGGGCGCCAGGCCGCCAGCCACCTCTTACACGCGGCCGGCGCCCTCTCGCGGCAAAAGGGTCGAGCGAGCGGGCAGAGTCGCGATGTCTGCGCACCCGCGTGCTGATGGGCGGCACACGCAGCGGAGAGAGGCCCTGTCGCGCCGCCAGTAGCGTTCCGCACTCCCCACGCCACCAATTGCCGCCTCAGGGCGCCAGCCACCTCTTACACACGCGGCCGGCGCCCTCTCGCGGCAAAAGGGTCGAGCGAGCCTAGGAGCGAGCGGGCAGAGTCGCGATGTCTGCGCACCCGCGTGCTGACGGGCGGCACACGCAGCGGAGAGAGGCCCTGTCGCGCCGCCAGTAGCGTTCTCCGCAAAACTCCCCACGCCACCAATTGCCGCCTCAGGGCGCCAGCCACCTCTTAGACGCGGCCGGCGCCCTCTCGCGGCAAAAGGGTCGAGCGAGCGGGCAGAGTCGCGATGTCCCTGCGCACCTGGGTGTTCGCCGCCTATATGCTCTATCCTGTGCCAAGACGGACACGTTTTGACAATCAAAATCTACCTCAAAATTTGCGGCCGCCCCTCGAAATTTGCTGATCAAAATTTGCGGTGGCCCGGATCGAAACCTGTACTTTGGCCAAGGTGCTGCACGTCGGGGACGACCTCGAGAAGGACTACCTTGCGGCCAGGGCGGTCGGCATGCACGCGCTCCTCTTTGACCCGGACGGAAAGGCGGCACACGCGGCGGCGGAGCGGGGCGTGCCTGCGAGCGACGTGATTCGCTCGCTCGCCGAGGTCCCTTCGCGGATCGACGAGCTGCTGGGCGCAGCTGTGTAGGAGAGGGAGATCGAGGTTGTAGCGGGCACGTTGTGGAGACATTATGCACGCAAAAAAACAACCGTGTGTGCAACTTTCCAGAGTTTTTCTTTTTGTGCCAGCTGAACACAGAGGCGGCCTTGAGGAGGTCCGTCTTCCCTCCTCATTCGTGACCATGTTCCACCTCATCGCCGCTTCGACGATGACCGCCTACGAGATTGGCCACGACAAGTGGATCCAGGTCCTCGGTGGCTGCCCAGGCCCTTCGCCGATCCCGAAGACGCTGAAGTCGAAGCTCATGGGCACGATGCAGGGCAATGAGTGCGAGGCACTCGTGCTGGCGTACCAGCGAACCGGAGACTGTGGCGAGGTCTTCTCGGTACGAGAGACATTCGCCTTTGGCGCGACTGCTCCAAACGGGGCTGTGTGCGCGTGCTGCCCAGCGTCAGAAGGCATGCTCGGCGGGGTTGGAGAGATGCTCCACGGCGAGCTCACCCTTACGGACAAGCGCGGCTGGAACGTGTACCGCACGGGATCGAACGGTGGCAGCGCTGACGGCGACGGCGGCAGCTGGGGGCAGGATGATACCGGCGGCGGCGGCTGGGGCCAGGCCACCGGCGGCGGCGGCGCTGGTTGGGGCCAGGATGAGGCTGGCGGTTACGGTGATCAGGCTGCTGACACGTACTCCGGCCAAGGCTCGTCCAGCGATGGATGGGGTGCCGCTGAAGGTGGTGATGGCTGGGAGTCACCGGCACCGGCGCCGGTTGCAAACGGCGGCGGCTGGGGTGGAAACGCCGCCGCTGGACAGGGCTCAAACGGTGGCTGGGGCAGTGCTGGAAACGATGACCCTTGGGGCCGGCTCTGATGCATGCCTATCTGGCGCATGATGGCGTTCACTGTCAAGCGCGTCTACTAACCGCGCCGCAATGGCGGGTGGTCCGCCGGTCAGGGGCCGTGCCAGTAGGTGTTCGGGCGAGCCGCCGCCTAAGGGGTTGCTGATGTGGTTTTCTGGAAGCTTTGAATGCGCTCACACGCATTTTTGTAATATGAAGAGAGAGACTGCGCCACAGCACGACGCGCGCACAATATTCTTAACACGTGCACACTCACTTCAACCTCGGGTTCCTCGCAGCCCGATGGAGGCCGAATGAAGCACTTGCTGAAATCAGCGCGGAACGGCGAACGGGTGGAAGGAGCGACATTGGTTGAGCGACAGGCTGGCATCGCCGCCTAAGCGACTCCCGCGAGGGCGGCGAGGCACTTAGCTCGTGAGTACTAGTCACACACACCACTTGCTCCTTCTTTAAAAAGAATTTACAGCCAAGTCCCTGAAAAAGAATTTTACGTTCTGCGCCCCGCGAGCCGCCCCGTCCTTCCTGCTCGGTGGCCCGCGTGAGCTCGCGAAGGCCAGGAGTCTGGCTATCGTGTATCATGGCCGCCTCCAGCAGTGCACGGCACATCGTGATGCGCGTGGACAAGTGCGGTATGTGTGCTGGAGACGCTGCAAACATTGTGGGCGAGAGCGGCGGCAGTTCGACACAGTGGAAGCTGGACAATGGCCGCTCCGTCCAGAAGAACCAAGAAGGTCAGGTGTGGACTATGCACTATGGACAGGTGGTTTCCACGCGCGCCGGGCTGCCACACCTCTCCTTGCCCACTGCCAAACGGGCCGCAAAGGCGAGTACGCAGGGGCTGACGCGCAAGCAGCAGGCGCAGCTGCACTCGGCGATCGAGGCGGTGGTCGGCGGCGCCCAGCCGACCAAGAAGCAGGCCAAGGCGCTGCGGCTCGCAAAAAGCAAGCAAGCCAAGGCAAACAACAAGCAAGCCAAGGCAAACAACAAGCAAGCCAAGGCAAACAACAAGCAAGCCAAGGCCAACAACAAGCAATCCAAGGCGCGGCGGCTCGCTGAGGCTGCGGAGCGTGCCGCGCCGTCGGAGCGTGCAGCGCCGTCAGTGGCCAGCGGGGCGGCGCTGCTGCAGCCCGCGGCTGCGATAGCAGCTGCGAACGCGGCGCCCGAGCTCACTGCCGAGAACCGCGGGTTCCGCATGCTGGCGCGTATGGGGTGGCGGCCGGGTGGCGGCGTCGGCAGGGAGGCGGAGAGCGCGCGCACGCACGGCATTCAGATTGCGATGCAAGCGCACCGGTGCGGCCTGGGCAACGCGACGGGCCGCGCCGCTCAGGGAAAGAAGCGTCCCCGGCCACTCTCGCCGCCGCCGCCACAGCTGCCGCCGCCGCCGACATGGGGCGGCGTATGGGACGGGTACCAGCCAGCTGGGTACCAGCTGCAGCCGTTTCATCGGGGCGAGCCGGAGGCGGAAGCCGCGAGGGAGGACTATGCGATACGCTTCCGGCGCGCCGGCGCGCGGCCCGTGCCGACGGCGGCGGCGGCGGCAGTACCGGCGGCGGCGGCAGCACCACCGGCGGCGGCAGCACCACCTCCAGCAGCAGCAGCGCCGTCTGGGTTCAGCGCCTCGGACTTCCTCGGCAGCTTCGACTTTCTCAGCGCCGCGGCGGCGGGCCTCCATCCCCCTCCCGCCGCGCCCGACCCCACGCCCACCGAGGTTGCCGGCAGCCGAGGGTGAAGGAAGTGACCGACGCGTGACACGCGAATGACTCAAAAGGCTTGTACTTTTGAGTTGTGATGAACAAAAGAGGCCCGCGAGGTGGATGCTAGCATGAGCCCGATCCGCCGCAGTGCTCTTGCGTTACGGCGGTAGTGATCTGATCACCCATATGCCACGTTCGGTCTTCGGATCGCTTCTCATCGCAAACCCCAAAGCAGTCCTCCTCCGGGAATGTAAGAGCTAAATAACTGAAAGAAAGTCTCTCTCCCCCCATCTCTCGCCCGCCAACAATCAATATCTGGTAGATGGGAGATTTGCTCCGCCAGCAAGCTTAGCACTCGGCTTCCTACGCAAGACTTGTAGCTGGTTGCAGCCCGACGAAACGGCGGGCACCGCATGGCGCGTGAAAGTCGAGCGCAGAGACGTCCGAGGCAGGAAAAAATAAATTCGCTGCTACAGCGCGCGCTTGGGTGAGCATCGGCGGGCGCATCGGTGCATCGGCGGGGCGCCTGGGTGATTCGCGCGCCCCTCCCTGGTTGAGCACGCCGTGCTTCTGTCTGGCGCACAGGCGCATGAGAGTCTGTCCAGCATTGCGGTAACCTGGTTTGTGGAGCTCCCACAGATGTTCTGACAGAGACCTGGCCGTTCTGACAGCGTTCTGACAGCGTTCTGACAGTGTTCTGACAACGTTCTGACAACGTTCTGACAGCGCAAAATCCTCCCCTCTCTTCACAGCTCAGGGGCTCTGACATTCCCAGTTGCCCCGCTCCTTCCCTCTTCCTGTCTTGAAGTCTCCCTCCGAGCCACGGAGGGACTCAACACACGCAGCACGTCCTCCCAAGCGCCAAGGCGATTGATTGATTGATGGGAAGGCGACACACAGTCCGACCAACGACACTCTCACGTTGAGGCGTAGGCCCTGTTCTGACACAAACTTGGTCCCCGTTCTGACACAAACTTCAACTTTCAACTTCGAGTCCAAGTTTGCCTGTTCTGACAATCTGTTCTGACAATTTAAAAAGAAATGCGTCCACCGACACCAAAGCGGGAGCGCAAACTGCTGTAACCGTCGAGCAGGAGCACGCCAAGACCGCCATGCTGGCTCGAGGCAGCAAACGCGCTCTTGGGATGGTCTGCTCCGCAGCCAGGAGCCCCGCGACAGAGCCGAAGAAGCCGCGGCCCGGCAGCAGCAGGCCAAACGCCGCAGCACAAAGCGCAATGCGCGGGCCCGGCGGTCCAGGTAGACGCGAAGGCTGCATCCAAGACGGCAGCCTCGGGTCACGCGCGACCGAACGAGCCGCTTGCGCCGCCGCCGCGCCGTTCTTTGGCACCACCGCCAAACGGCCCTTGCTCCTCCGCGACACTCGCCGCAGAGACGGCGCTTGTCGCCGCCAAAGCAATAGCAACAGCGCCCGCCACCCTCCCCCTTTCCCGCCCTCCGCCTTTGCCATCCCCCATCTGTGCATTCCACTCTGTTCGCTCCCTCCCGCTTGGCGCCCATCCCGCCCTCCGCCCTCGCCCCGCCCCTGCCCTGGCTGGCCTGGGTGGCATCTCCTCATCATCACGCGCCAAGTGGGAGGGAAGTGGACGGGGCCCTGAGGCCGACCTAGCCCTAAACGGAATGGGGCGCCCAACACGGTGCCGGATTACTGTGCCTTCTCCGGGCACAGCCTTTTGGCGCGTGAAGGGTCGGTGCGTGTCGTGACCCCCTGGAACACCCGTACCCCCGCACCATCTCCGTCGCGTGGTTCTACAACCTTAACCATCACCGGGAGGCGGCCAGGGCTTCATAGACTCGGTCGAAAGACCCCAGATTGGCATCCATGCCTCTCTGGACAGGGTGGCCCGCCACAAGGACCCCTGGAATTGCGACTCGCCGCTTTCCTCCCGCTGTGATCTGTGAGAGCTCTGTGTCTTGATTTGCCAACAAGGTACCTAAAACTGGTATAAACGCGGACGTATTTTCTTTAGCGATTGTGCAGCCACAGCTCGGCGCGCCTCGCCCATGCGGCGAACCGCCGCTCCTCCCTCACTCGCCCTGACCAGTTCGTAAAGCCGATTAACCGTCGCACGCGAGTTTGCAAGCGCGTTGTCGGCGCCCTCCAGTGCAACCCTCTCTGCGCTCGGTTCATCAGATGCAAGCAGCGCCTGCAGCCCCTCGCCATCCGTCAAAAGCTGGAGGGCAATGTCTACGGCGGCCTCCTGCATGATCGTCTCGTCGTCGCCAGTGGCTGGGTCTTCTGCTTCCGACCGGACGGCTCCAACGCCCAGCATCTGAGACATGAACGCGAGGTCGAATCTGGCACGTACGGCGGCAGCTCGGGCATCTGCCTCTGCCCCCTCGCCGCATCGGCGAGCGCGCTCGTGTCAGCGCGCCGCTGCTCCTGGTGCCGCTGCATGGCCGCCGCGCTCGCGCTCGCTCCGCTCGATGACATCGTGAGGCCCAACGCAACGGTCTGCGAGCTCCTTTTGCCCAGCGGGTCCACCACAGAGTTCTCCCAGCCATGTGCCCAAATGCGCCCGCCGTTTTTCGTCGTCGACGTCGTCCCCCCCCCCTCGCCCGCCGACTTTGATTGGGTCCGGTTCTACCTCACTCTCATCTTATCTATTACAGATACAAAACGTCAGATCTGCGCCACCCAGGGCTGGACCTAGTCTCGCCTCCGCGGCGTCCCCCCTCTTCTAGTCTGTATCTTCTAGAGCTCTAGTGTCGTTGCGCGACAGAACTCTACTCGGCATGACTCCAGGTTGCACCACCTCCGTAGCAACCCCCAAAAGGCGTGGGCTGCCGCGGATCTGTCCCCCTCCCCGTCCTCGAGGAGCATCCACGCTTCGCTTGACCAGTGCCCACTCGCCACCGCCTCGCTCAGTATGGACAACAGTAAATTCTCTCGCTCCTCCTCGCCGTGCCTGCGCAGCGCGTGCACGAGGGGGCACGCGTACAAGTATGCCTATGTAATAACACTTGCCCATGTCATTACATCCTTGGTTTATTTGCGTCCTGATGAAGAGTGCGCCTATCGTCCAAATCAATTAATGAAATATCCCCGACGGTCACAGGGGTCGGCGAGGGGATGACCTGGTCCGCGGTGCGAGCAGGCAGCGGCGGCCGCTTCTCCCCCGCGCCGCGATTGGGGTATGTGAACCACCAAGCCCCAGGCCCCGGCGGTTCAGCAGTTGGCGCCGAGAGGAATCGCTTCGCCTGCACGCAGAGCATCTTGCGTAGCTGCGCCACCCGCGACCGGCTAGCCCGGCGAGCGCCTATTCAAACGTCACAGCCCAAATCGGCGTTGGGCCGAACGTGCAAATCACTCAGCTGAGCCGGGCGCCCAGAGGCAGCCCTTCCTTGGCGGCCGCCTTGGCAAAAACCAACGGCCCGCCATCGAGACGCAGCGCCGCCTCGAGCACCACCGAGGAGGCGGTGCACTTGCCGCGAACGACGGGCGCGGCTCGCGCAACGGGGCCTACACACACAGCTGGCAGCTGAACCGGCAGCTGTGTTTGGACTGTGAGTGCCTATCGGCAGATGTGGTGGCTCCAAACGCAAGGCTTCGCGCAGTCGAAGCCACAGCCAGCAATGGCGTATACCACACCCGCATGTTGAGGTTGGCCGCAGCCAGCGGCTTCGTCGAGTTGAGCAAGAGGAGGCAGAAGAGCTCGAGCGACTCGAGCGAGCGCAAGCGCCCGTCGGGGACGCTGTGCCTGAGCGGAAACTGGGGAGTGGAGAGAAGTGTCTTGGGCGGTGAAGTGGGACGGAAAGGGCGCACTCGCTGCTCAGGTGCGCTGCAACCTTGAACGGGTCGAGGCGCACCCAGCGCAGGCTCAGCCCGGTGGCGCCCAGCGCGGCGCGCAGGTGCGACATAGTCCGCGTGGAGCAGTCGCCGCTGCCAGCAACGTCGTAGCGCGCCTGCGCGGCACCAGGCGGATGCATGTGAGACGTAGTGGGGAAGAGAGTTACGGGTGATGGTCTGCCCAAGACCTCGCGAGCCGACGCGGCCTCCGCCGGCGTTGTCGCGGTGTGCCCAGCATCTCGCAGCCGATTGGTGGCCTCGTGGCCGCCGGCCAACAGCTCGCAGAGCGTCTCGAAGAACGAGGTGATGTTGCAGTACTCCTCGTACCGTCGGCCCTGCCAAAGGGACTTGCGCGTCGCCCGGATGTCCTGGACGCCGATGTAGTTGGAGCCGTCCGAACCGAGCAGTATGTAGAGGTGCCGCATGCCTAACAAGCCAGAGTATTATGTGGAGCAGGACATTGCGGCTATGTCGGAACACCGAGGGGAGGCCACCGGTGTGTTCAAACGCGGCGCCAGCATCCTCCTGGGTTGAGAGCTCCACCAGCTCAGTCAGCGCTGAGCCAGGCGTGAGGGTCTCATTAGCCCAGCCCGCAGTGCACGCACGGTCGACGAAACTGAAGCCGTCGACGAAGATGCGCTCCATGAAAAGGCCGCGGTCGCGGTCGTAGTATACCAGCCCGCAGTCGACTGTTGGCTTGACGGAGGCGCCTGAAGAGGCCGCGCCGCGCAGGAGGCTGGCCAACGACGCAACGTTTGCGCCGTTGGCCACATCCCGCTGGACGGGCACGGCGTGACAGGGGCCCGACGGCCGCATGCCATCGCCGGCGAGCAGCGCTTCAAGGCCAGCGGCGAGAAGCCTCGAGAGCTTTATGCCGCCGCACGCCTTGATGACAGCGTCAAAGTTGCCCTGCTCGGCCACCTCGTCCTCATCAGCGCCGCTGCCAGCGCCGCCGCCAGCGCTGTGGCGAACCTCCGGCTCGACTATCGCCGACGAGGCAGCAACCTCACCGCACACGAGCGACCTTTTGGTGGCCTCGAAGCGCTCGAGGAAGCGTTGTGCAACGCTGCTGCGTGCGGAAGGCGCCATTGAGAGAGATTCTCCTGCCAGCTCTTTTGTTTTTTTTTATTTTTTGTTGTTGTAAAATTCTCCTCCTCGCCCAGTAGGGCGCCGGCACCCCAGCGTAGAGGGCGTTGTGTAGCCCTCCTTTTGGTAATATAAAAATTC